CACAAATAATTCCTGCAGAAGCAATGATCTTTTGAATGGATTCACTTTCTCCACCATCGGGGCCAATTGTTGGCTGACCAGCATTAATCCATCCAGATGAGTGACAGATTTCTCCATTGTTGCAGACTGGAGTGGGTGATGGTGGTATCGGTGTTTGAGTGGTGGTAGATGTTGTTGTTGGTGTAGGGGTGGTTGTAGTTGTTGTTGGTGTAGTTGTGGAGGATGTAGTTGTAGGGGTAGTGGTGGTTGTAGTTGTTGTTGGTGTAGTTGTGGAGGTTGTGGTTGTTGTTGTAGGGCTGGTTGTAGTTGTTGGGATAGTGGTTGTTGTTGTAGGGCTGGTTGTAGTTGTTGGAGTAGTGGTTGTTGTTTTAGGGCTGGTTGTAGTTGTTGAAACTGTAGTAGCTGTTGTGGTGGTTGTTGGAGTAATTGTAGTTGTTGGCTGAGGACTCTTGCTTAATGAAGTAGTTGTTGAGGGTGTTGTTGTATTATGGCAACTTGTGATTTCACAACACTCAACTTTCACCTCATAATCCATGCATATTGGTGGAACAAATTGATCTTTGTTTTTGCAAATTAATCCCACATCCTTGTTGCATATTACTTTTTGCCCTAACCCAGAAAGTGGTACTCCTGGATAATGCACAGCTTGACACTTAATATTTTCTGGTCTTTTGCAAATTTTAATCCCATGATTTAATATATTTGCAATAGTTTCATTGTCACCACCATTTGGACCAATTTGGGGGTAATCAACACTAATCCATGGAGACCACTTACATTTCTGACAAAGTGGTGATGTCACTGAAGTTACTGAAGTTGTTTTTGGGGTTGTTGTTGATATATTGGGTTCTGTTGGCCTTGTTGATGAGAAATTCAAAATGGTTGATGTTGATGAGGTAGCTGTTGAAGTTGTAGATGTGGTTGTTATGCCACAGTCATGATCAACGATTTTGTGGATGTACCCATTCTCTTCACACAAGGCCGTGATACAGCTTCCAAGGTCATCATGGGTTTTGTAAATGGTAGCTCCGTATGGGAACCTGTTTCCTTCGTAAATGCAGTAACAAGCTGTGGATGTAAGCAAAATTCTTAGTAAATGTAAACATGTACGGAAACAGACATAGAAAAGTTTCTCACCTACTCATGTTTATAAAATAAGGATTCTAACCTTGATCGTCGAAATTGCACTGTATGCTTGATGACTTGCAGAGACTAAAAATCAATTAGAAGTTTTTTTTAGTTTTCTATATTTATTAAAAAAATATTAGAACAATTTGATGATACTTTCAATCAAATAATAGTTACACTTGAAAATACCTACCATGTCTGACAGTTGACTGTGGAATTAACTGTTTCTCCATTGTTGTAGTGTTTTCCATCTTTATCGTAGCAGCCACACTGTTCCCTATCCACACACGTCATGGAATCTTCATCAAAATATGGCTGGGCAGGTGGGCATTTGGGATAGCAACCTTAAATGATGGCATTAGTCAGGCTATACAGTATGTCACAGGTAGGATATATTCCAAGTTGCATTAATTTAGATGTTTGACATTTTTGATGTTTAGTCTTGCTGTGAAGTTTTCTGCCTTTTTTGCAGAAAGCCATTTTCCATAGACTTATTAGATCACATCATACACTCAAACGTTTTTAAAAGCTTGAGATGATAAAATGTTTTTGAATACAGCATAGCCTGACTAGCTATGTAGTTATATGCTGATTTCAGTCAATGACAGTGGCCCTAAATCATCACCTTCCAGGGCAGGGATCAGACTGGAGCACGACCCTGAGGGGTTTCTGCATGTCTTCATACAAGGAGCTCCACATGGCTGGTAGTGCCACTCACACTCTCCAGGTGGGTTGTAGAAATCACAAAATAGAGCTGGGAAAGGAAGGGTGACCCAACATTCGTAAGTCTTCAGATCCACTTGCTTATGGGCGTTATGTCATGTTATGATACTGGAGTATCATAAAGACTTTTGATTTCAGTGGTAACTTACGGCAGATTTGTGGACTCCTCCACGCTACGCAGACACCAGCCTCATTGCAAGCCTCTGCGTATGCAGCCACAGCAGTGCAGAAACACTCACAATCTCCTCCCGTATCACAAGCGCACGAGTCTCTTACACAGGCATCGTAGTATGGAGTAGGATCCACCTTGTGAGATAAATGTCTTTACTTTATCATATGCAGGGTATTATTTTAATCAACACATTTCCACATAAGATCAACACATTTCCACATTATCAAGTGATGTTCTGAGAACAGGTTTACTTGAGTAAAGTCAGGCTAAATGGCATTGAAAATTGAAATTGAAAATGACAATCTGGATGCACAGAAATTGATCATCTCTTACCTGTGAGTGACAGGCTGTGAATACTGTGCTTTTGAGGAGGCTGCACTGTTTCTGGGCCCAAGACTGCCTGTATGGTTTGAATAAGCAGGGATCTTTGGTAAAATCTGAATTAGGGCAACTTGGAGAGGCTTTCCAGCTGTTTCCAAACTCCAGAGGATCAACGACCACTTCATTGCTTCTGGTGGTGAAGTCATTGTTTTCATTACCATCATCGTTGCCACATAAACCACAGACCTGGCCCTGGGAAACAGACATTCAGTTACGTAAATTAACTGACCAAACTAGTCCTAATAAACTTTTAGCAATAATCCATATGGAATATTTCAATTTGAATGAAGTACTGTTGAGAAGGACATTTTCACATTTTTTGACAAACCTTAAATGTAGGGCTAAGTTTGATGAACATGCTTGTCTTCTTGTCCCACATAAGAATCAGGCCATTATTGGCTTCAATAACCAGATAAATTCCCATCACACTGATCCGATAGGGCACCTCTTCGCCTGTATCTCTTTGGATAACTTCATGGCTTCCGTCTGTCAGTATGAGCTCATTGTTCTGTAAGAATCATGTGTTTAGTGATCATAACAATGCAAAATCATTACATTTTTTCGAACTGACATCCATCATCCTCACCCCAAGGAAGAGCTTGATAGCTTTAGAGCAGGTGGTACCGGTGGTGCCACATGGGATATTCTCAGTGATGACCCGGAAGGTGCCATTTACGTTGTTGCTGCAGTAGTCCTGCAAAAGTATATTTCTCTAATTGAAATTATTGTTTAAAAAATGCCAATATTCAAAACAACATGTTTATGATATAACCTACTAAATATGACAAAATAAACTGAAATGAAGCAGCCCTCCAAATTCTTTCAATCCTATCCTCTGAGACCTACCTGAGTTAGTATGTATTCACAGTCTCCATCGAAGGTGAACCTTTTCCCATCAAAAGTCACATAATGGCCGTCCCCGTAGATGGCACAGGTGCCGTGGCACTCGTTATCAGTACACTGCCATTTTGTATCCTTACAAGTACTAGAATAAGAAGGAGATGGTCTAAATATCTATGATTATATTAATTTACAGTAAACTCCTTGTGATATTAAGTAATACACTGTACAATAGAACCATACCAGGTATTGCAGTCAACGTTGACTTTGTCTCCGGGTTGGTATGATTCTCCATTGTGGACACATGGACAGAGCTCCTGCTTTATACAGCCTCCTTTCCCATCAGACACCAATCCAGATGGGCACACACACCCAGACACACACTCCGTGCTTATCTGTGTGGGTCCAGTGTAACGATGGACATGGAGGGATAAAAGTTAATGAAAGTACTGTTAATATTACACAGGGTCATGAGATTACATTGACACGTGTTATCAATGTAGCGATGAGTATTCAACCAACAATATATGTTATATATATATATATATATTGTGGTTTTATCACTTGTAACTTACACATCCCATGTCCAGTGTCTGGCAGCTCTGCTGACACTCAGAGCCCTTGGCTCCTGGTCCAGTTTTAGAGCAATCGTAGAAGATCATTGGTTCAGTGCAAGCTGAACAGACAAATATTCGTGAATTTACTTATCAATCTCTTTAACAAACGTGAGTTCAGAATATTATTGACATTCATATATAATAATTTTTATCACCCATAACTCAGGAGGTGTGGATGCAAAATAAAATGAAAGCAGCAGAACTTTCTGAGAGGTGACTCACATGGTACACTGTCCATTTCTCCTATGCAGCTCAGTTTCCCTTGCTTGCATGTGCTGAAATAAATGATGATTTAAGTCAAAATACAGGACAAAAAAATTCATTTTCCAGTGCTGCCCATGGTCATTGTTTTTTTAATATTATATCCAGCTTTAGAAACTGTTAAATAACATCAATCAATGTATTCTTGAGATCAAGGAGACTTACCACATAATGCCGTCCTTGCTAACAACCTCCCCAGGAGGTACGACAGTGCCCTTAGTGTAGCAGGGACAACTTTCAGGAGGTACACATTTGCCGTCATCATTCATATAGGTTCCGTCAGCACAGGTACAACCATCCACTGCTTCAAAGGTCAGCATGCAGGTGTTATCGGGATTGCTAAAGCAGAGGCAGGTCTGACTGCTGTTCTGTATGCTGTAGGAGTAGACCATGGTGCTGGGGCATTCAGATGAGTATTTTCCTGAGGAGGAGAAAAGTTCTTAGTTAGGCAAGTAAAAAAAATAATAAAACAAGTCACTTGTCAGCTTCCCAGTAAGCTTCCATTCACACCAGTGAAGCACCTACCGCACATGGCGCCTCTCCAGCCAGACAGCTGGATGCCCATAGCAGCACAGGCCTGGACGTAGGAGGAGGCTGCAGCACACATGCAGTCCTCGCTCTTCTCGCAGTTACAGCTGTCGTACATGCAGTTCTGCAGTGGAACAGACTCCGTATCAGAAATTTTATTTTTCATTTTCGGTAACTTTTTTTTCAAGCAGAGTAATATGTTTACTGTCAATGTTTGATATCACACTATCGATGGTAAAAAAAAAAAACAGGAGCTGAATTAAGCACTACTGATTGCCCAAAAAAAACATCTTTTTGACTGTGGAAACAGCTCTGCATTATTATTCATCCAGGCCGTTCTTGACTGAAGTAAGTAATCTGTTCCAAGGAAGTCGGATTTACCTTCCCAGTCAACACACCTTCTAGCAAAAAACCACATAAGCCAAAAATATATTGCAGTATGTACTAAAGAACACAAATAAAAGAATGGGTAAGGTGTAAAGTTACTTGAAGGTGTATGTCGCTGTTTTGTGTTAGCACTACCGAAAACTTTACGTATCTTGGATGTTTTTCATGTAAGTTTACTTAAGTTAGATTTATGTGAGTCCAGAGCTGTGCATGCTGGGAACAGAAACAAGCATCAGCAGCAATAAAGAGACTACACAGCAAATCCATAATGTTCACACTATAACGCTGAACTCATGGAAAAGCTTACAGCTTTGTAGGTGTCGGGGTTCACTGTGGCGTGGCAGGGGCTGAACACGCCCTTCGGGTCGGAGAGCAGTGCACACCAGTGCGCAGCGTATTTTTCTTTGGAACAGAAAGAGAACACGAGTGAGACGGGAAAGAATTGAGGGCAGGTCTGTGATACATTTGCTAGCTGAATATTGCATGGGACCTCCTTACCATTCTCCAGGCTAAGGCTGCAGGGGTTTTCATAGCTGATGCTTACATCTGGGCAGTTGGCTCTCGCTTTCCAGCTGTTGGCAAAAGCCGTCGGGGTTCCCTGTACCATCCCGCTCATGGCTTTGAATTCATCGGCTTGGATATCATTGTAGTTCCCACACAATCCTGAAGTAGAGATGCAATAGCTAATTGCCCATGCTGTATCTGGTGCTCATGGTCACAGAGGCTTAGATTTATATAAAAAGTTTTCAGGACGTACCACAGGTGGTGCCTTGATGTGCAGATTCTGCTGTAATGTAGACCTGCATGATAGGTGTCAGCTGGATCTTGAGGTGAAGTCCGAACGGTGTCTGAATGATGATGTAGAATGTGGATGGCTTGGTAATGCTTGATCCCGCTATAAAATACAAAGTCTTTCTTAGTCATAGAATAACCTGTTTATTTTCAACCAAGAATTGTCATAAACGTCTGCAGTAGGAATGGTTGTAGATCATTTAAATGTAGTTAAAATAACTGCAGCTGAAAAAGGTATTAAGCAGCAGGACAGTCAGTAGTAGAAACTCTTCATTATAAGGCAGTATGTGGCTTAGCAGTTTAGGATGTTCAGAGGGTCGCTGGATCAAATCCTAGAGTCGACAGAGTGATTTCACCATTGGGTCCTTGAGCGAGGCCCTTAACCATAATTGCTCCAGGAAGTGGCTGATCCTACTTTATCAGTTGTTCTTTTTGGAAAACATCTGTAAGGGAGCTCACCAGCAATAAGTGGAAGCTGAGATAATATCCCATTGACAAAAACATTCCCATTGGCTAGAATGTTTACCACCTGTAGAGAGATGCAAGACTTTTTTTAATCGAAACACCTTAAATCTTAAGTATTTTTTAATCAGAATTTTTATATTATGTAACAACACATTTTTTATCATATGTTGAAACAAAACACATAAGTGATTAATTTTTTAAATAGCACAACATGTAAATGCTTTTCGACTTCTTACGGTGGTCCCTCCTGAGATGGCCAGGGTGACGGCTTTGAGGCAGGTCTCAGTGTCGGACAGCCCGCACTTCACGAGATCCCCCAGCACTGTGAAATTGCTCCCGTCACATGGCTGTGGGAAAAGAAAACAAGCAGCAAGACCTTAAATTGGGTCAGAACATGCAGGTATACATCTGCAGATGGAGTTTGCCTCTTACTTTAAGTTGTCCATGCCTCCACAGGTTCCTGTGAAATACAATGCAGTTTATATGTTCCTACCCAAGGCGAAGAACAGCTACTGAGGTCAAGTGCTGAAAAAACGTCAGTCTCGCGAATGGTGCTGAAAAAGTAGGGAAATCTATGCATGTTTCAAGATTATAAACCAAGCAATGTATGTAAGAAGGCCAGCTTTTAAGGAGGAATGCAGTAATAGATCAAGTTAAAAGGAATAATTGCCATGTTCCACAATGATGCATGGTTATGATAGGCCCGGAGCCTATCACAAGGTCATAAGATACCCTGGAGAACATTCCATTCCGCCCCAGGACCAGAGTACACAAACTCAGAGATAGCAATGCAAATTTCGTGGACTGTTGGGAGTGGATGGAAGAAGACAAGGTAACCAGTACAAGAAACAAAGGCAGGTCCTTGACAGCGTAGGTACCATCACACATCATAACTTATTTTTATTAAGTGTAAAACAAGAGTATATACAGATGGAAATCATGCAGATGCAGGAAGACATGATAAAGTGCATGTATGTGATGCAGGAATTACAGAATTAACTACAGAAAAATAACACAAGGATATAAGACCGACATAAAGCTATTCACTGTTGAACCAGAAAAAAAGGCAAAATAATACTCCTGTATGAAAAAGAAATCTGCAAGTGAATGGGCCCTGTACTATCAAAAGACAGGGTGTCTACGCAGACCTCCATGTCGACGTCCTGTCGGTCTGATGAATCAGCCAGAATGAGCTTAGATATATTTGTAACTATCTACAATTTCAGTAGAAGAAAGGAGAAGTCGGGCAGTGACTTCTGGAGAAAGACGAAGCCCCAATGGAATGAAAATAGTATAAAATAAACACTGAGCAAGAGACATAAACATAGAAATTAGTTTTCTGGTTAAGAAAGATGGGCTCTGTCTTTTTATGTTGTCCTGTTCGTAAAAGCATCAGGCAATTAAGGGAAGATGTCAAAAGTCCCAGAATGACGATGGGAATATACCAATCAAATTAATGTATATATGCAATCTCTGAATAAATGAATGCATTGAGAGACGAATAAATAAGAAACTATTTGTTTGCAGGAGAAATGCCTGATGGAACTGGGCTTCATTGTTCAAGCTTAAAATAAACATTTTAAAAAGAAGCGTGAAAGATGTGAATTGTCAGGAGCTGAAACCTGAAGGTTGTGAAATCTGTTGTAATGTGTTGAAGACAGCAAGACCGAAGCGCATGGGCCTACAATATGACTGGCTACCAGTTAAATACCACAGAAGAGCTATAACAAAAGATTTTGTTTAAAAGAAAACGGGCTAGTACTATTTCACATTAGTAAAATGAAATTTGTGGGCCTGACCTTTGTGAGGACATAGGAACAGTCTCCATGGAAGGTGTAGGCTTTGCCATCGTAGGTGGTGATGTGTGAACCTCCGTTCACAGAGCAGGTTTTTGGGCAATCAAGGTCCTGACAGCTCCACTGGCCCCCAGAACAGGCACTGACATGACAAATGGAAAATTATATCCACTATCGGTAATCACAGGTAGAAAACAAGAGTTCAGGACAAGGTGAATGTTAAGAGTAGCTCACCATTCTTTGCAGTTGGTTGTGTACGATTCTCCAGGTCTATATTCTTTTCCATTATGGCTGCAGGAACACTGATGAACTGGGATACATCCACCATGTCCGATGTCATCGATAACAGTGCCTGGCAGACAGATGTAATGGCATTTAATGACATTTAATAAAGAAATCTGAGCAGAACATTACACAACCAACTGAGATACTATATCTCCATATTGAAGCAGATAATATTTGTCATATCTCAAAGAACGTAAGAATACATTTCAAAAAATCTAAAACCAAAGGATATCAGTTCATTTCCCTGTTGTCAGTGGTTGTCTCTGTGGCAGTTAGAAGTAGAAAGAATAATTTCAATCATACATTTTAGTCAATATCGAGATAAAAGTATGTACCTGGGGGACAGAAGCAGCCATCGGTGCAGTGGTCTTCACACAGCTGGCGCCTGTCTGGGTTCGAGCAGGTGTCAACACAGGGGATTCCACACTCCTGGTACTCCATGTTGGAAGGGCATGACTTTGCTGCAGGACAGAGGACCACAGTCAGACGTGTTGGGTGTTGGGATTTAATTTCTGATGATCTTTTGACTCTGCTCTTAAACTAGTCTATTTAGTAAGTGATGTCCACAAGTCACAATGGCAGCGTGTTTAAGAGTAGCTCTTTGAAGGGTGTTGATTTGGTGCATTTGAGAATATAATGCTGGATTCTGGGACACGTACGGCAGAACTGGGCTGTCCTCCATTGCTGGGGCTTCCCCCCTGCATGCACACACTGGCGAGAGTACTCTGAAAGGGTGTTGCACAGACAGGAGCTGCTGCTGCCCTTGGGACAGTGGCACATGTCCATCACACAGGCCTTGATGAAGGAGGCAGTGGGAACCAGGTCCTTACAGCTGCTCAAGGCAGGATTGGAGAGGAGCTTCTGACAAACTGATATCTAAAGAGGGACAGGATCATTTATTGTTAGTTTAAAATGGCAGACTTAAAAAACAATAGCAATGTATTATTAAATGTTCAAAATGTAACAAAAAACATTACCTGTTCAGCACAATTTTTCGAAGACTTTGGTTTTTGTTCACTGCAGATTTCATTTGGGTCATCCATCTTCCAGAAGCTTCCATAGTCAAATGGAGTTAATATTTTACCTTCAACGAAAAGAAAAATCAACAATTTTTCCCTTCAAATTAACCTGCATGGATATTGTGGATGTAGGTTATTTTTCAAATAAACGTGCTCAGGGTTTTCGTAACTCACCATCCATAATGAACTCGTCGTAGAGCTGAACTCCATTAAAGTCTCCACAGAGCCCACAAGTCTGGTTTATGTATTTGTTGTCTATCTCCAACTGTGGAGAAGTAGGAAGAATTTGATAATATTAAATAAACTATTGCAATTATATTAAACTTCATCAAACAAACAAAAGTCTCAATTTGCAATGTGCTATTTGCCTCCGCTTTGGACAAAAGTATCTGCCAAATAAAAATACATAAAAATAAATGTTAATTTAATAATTGGGTGCTCCTTACAAGGAAGGCATCCTCTTGATTCCACATGGCAACCAGTCCCAGCTTAGCTGTGATCTTGATGTAGGACGGTGTCTTCTCAATGAAAACGCCTGACTGGCTGAATGGCAGAGTAACACTGGAAAGAAAAACCTTAAGGTCACATGAAGGTCAAACCATGTTAAAGCTGCCAAACTCATGTAACATTACAACTAACTGCATGTCTTGCCAGTTTAGTGTTAGGGGTGCGTCATCTCCCAGAGATGAGATACTCTACCTTAAGTAAAACATTTGTTACCAACTCACCTGTCCCCGTTGACCTGGACCAAGTCCTTGGTGAGTTCCACCACTGCCCCATCCAGCTTCATGGTGACCTTGCTGATGGTCGGCTCTTCACCCTCAACCTGACGCCTCAGCTGGATGTTGAAGTCCTCATAGGAGCTTTTACAGTGTGAAGTCAGGATGTAGTTACAGCTGGAAGGGAGCTGGAAGACGTCCCCATCGAAGGTTTTGAAGTGGTAGGTCCCCCATGTGCTGCAGACCTGCCCGTTGTGTGCTGGTCTCACTCCTGGAGAATGGAGAAAAACGGCACTTTTTATCCATCTATCCATCCATCTTCAAATCGCTTATCCTGGTCAAGGTCAGAGGGAGCACCGTTTAATCTAAAACCTATTCCAGATTTCAGCTTTGTGGGACGATTTAAATCAGCAGCAAGTTGGTGCGACGCTAACTGAGCTGTATAATCGCACACCTCAAACTGGTTTATCTCACACCTCAAACTGGTTTATCTCACACCTCAAACTGGTTTATCTGACTTATACCACAGCTAATAACAAAAAAAAAATAATAGTGGTTAATTTTTTAGCAGAAACTTATTTCAATCAGCATTTAATAATGTTCCAATGTGCTCTTAAAATATCATCACAAAGACTTCATGCTGGATTACAGCAATGAGGTTTGATTAAGTTGAATAAGCTATTATCCAGAAGGTGGAAGTCTCAGTGGCTCTCCATAGATCAGGTTCCCCATCCCTGAGTCACCTCCCACCGACAAGCTCATCATTGCAATTCTGCTACAACTGTGCCATTTCATGACATAAGTCACAAACTCCTATAATTAAGGACACCTTTATTTATTCTCATGAGGAAATTTTCACCTACCCCATCTTGCTCTTCAGGACACACATACACATATGTATGTGAGAGCGAGCTTGGCAGCGAAGGGCAGCTACCTGCCATGGTGCCCATGGAGTTGGGGGTTAAGGGCCTTACTCAAGGGCCTACAGACATGTGACTGTTTGGTTGAGGCCAGGCTTGAAATGGTGACCTCCCAGTCAGACACAAAGGCTTAGCTCATTGAGCAACATGCCACCCCCAAGTCATTCAGTGATGTTTGCCAAAGGTTTTTGTGCTATTCAGTATTTTTATAAATGTAATTGTTTATTCTGGGTCTTACTTAAATAATGGGAGAGACTGATGGGTTCACTCTTAAATGAACAGTGAACACACCTGTATTGTGTCTTACCTGCAATCATGGATGACTTGGTCATTTTTGGGATGATGTTCACCGTTGGAGCATTCTTCTGGGGACTCCCTAAAGACAGATCATTGTGTTCCCTTTATGAACGAAGTTTCACTGACCTTTCTCAACTCCACCAATATTACAGGAATGCTAAATGTAATGTTTTGTATAGAGTGAAGCCAGCAAGCAAAACTGAAAAAAGTCATTATTTCTCATTAAAGTGATATTTATGTAAAAGATATAATTTCTTCTGTAAGACGCTTACCTTTGTCTGAAGTCACTAATCCCAAGGACAATGCCAGCCAAATCACTACCCACGTTGGTATCTCCATTTTAGTCCCCATGGATCCCCTGTCACCTGCAGACAAGTTAGCCAAGGGGAATTGTGAACATCTCTCAATCCATGGCAGGGTTTTATACCTCCCATCCCAAGGAGCGTCCATGGTGTTCCAGGAGACCAGAAGGAAGGTGGGGCTTAGGGGCTGAACTTGGCTCAGTGTCAAAGGTTGTGATGTTTCAATATCTGCCGCAGCTGTGAACCAGCTGCTCAGCGTGTGCCCCTTCGTCACATGTTTCTGGTGGTCTGATGTGATGAGGAAGTATTCAGGCTTACGATACATGGGGTTTAGGATGGGCTATCTAATACTTTGAGCTGAGATTCAAAGAACCGTTTCTGTGATGCCAAGCAGTGAGTCCCCTGCTACCAAATGTTTATTTAATTTCCTAATCTATTTTGACTCACGGTTTAGCTCACTCATGTCAGGAGAGGTGTGTCCTTATAGAAAGATTAATTGCACTTTTTTTGTGTGTCCTGGGTCTCACTTGACATCACTCTTATCGCGGTGGACAGCTAAAAAAAGCCGGTGAAACACATGCAGAACAAAAGACATGAAAGCCCTGTGTACTTTATAATTACACACGCAGCACCTGTGAATAGACCAGCCCCATTGTTCAGTCAGACAAGTGTTTGTGATTGGGCAGCTCCTACACCCACATTCATATGTCATCTTTTGTTCAACGTGCAGAATGGCAAACATACATACACTTAAGAGATACTCTTAGACCTGTACTGTGTATTGTCTAATTTCGCTGTTAATTAAGTTATTTAAAACTGATCCACTGTTAGTTCTCAAACACTAAGAAATACGGACCCCCAACCCCCCCCCTCTCAGACACCAGCCGCCTACAGCAGTAAGAAACTCCAGACCTGTGAAGACTCTACCTCATTGTGACTGATTCGTTTGCCGTTCTTCCTTGACCTAGCACAGGTTAAAGTGACATATACCTCATTTTAGCTTGTAGTCAGAGTGTCAGGGTTGGCAGAATACACACTGTAGAGGTTATTAATGTAAAAATGAAGTATTTGGTCTGACATTTAGAAAGAGACAAAGATATATAAGCTAATGTACACAACCAGAGGGGCCTCAGAGGTTTGGGTCACTATAGTAAATGTTAATTAATCAGGTTCTTTATTTAGGAAATACTGAAACGGCGTGTTCTGCTAAGCAGCTAGCTAGCTATGACCTTCTGACTTTACTCATTAGCTGTTTATTTAGTTTCTGAAACGTCTGAGGGAGGATGGGTCTCCCCAAAACCCCATAAACAACAAACTGGCCCTTGTACTCAACACCCTAAAACTTACAGACAATACGCAGATAATGGAAATATTTCTGCTCCATATTTGGTCAGTGAAATGGCCAGAAACGAAAGTCACTAATGTGTGAATAATCAAAATGATTAACATTGGAGAGCCTCTTCTCCTAACTCCACCTTTGTTTTGCTCTGCTGATATGAATCATTGTTCCATAATCATGCAGGTGTTTCTTTATATTTATTTGTGGGGCATCACAGATGAGCAAACAATGAAATAAAAATATACTCTGACATGGGACATCGCCCTGTAGTCGAAAGGCGTGACTGTCCAGTTATGTCCACGCACATAAGAATCACAAAATCCAAAACTTGCCTTGAGTTTTTCCCCGAAAAAGGCCACAAAGTGGAATGTGGCATTTTAGGGGGGCAGTGTGTGGCTGAGCAGGTTGGGGTGATGTCACCACTGGGCCTGGGGGTGCCATCTGTTCCCATTTTCCCGGGATTGTTCTCTTTTATTGAGCGACTGTCCTAGAAAATTAATATTCTTCCCAAGGACACTAATTGTCCCTTTTTTATTCGTGAAGATAATAATTGTTGCCTTTATTGTCCCCATGAACAATTTCTTTTTAAGCTTCCTTCAATTTGCTGTCTGTGATGGGCAGCTGTCTGTTGGGGCAGCCAGGGAGCTGGGGGCTAAGGGCCTTGCTAAAGGACCTACACATGGGCTGAGGTGGGGTTTGAACCAGCAACCTTGTGATTACAGGCACACAGGCTTAGCACACTGAGCCACATGTCACCCTCATGCATGTGTAATTTAGAATTTTGTAGTTTCAAATTAAACCTCACTTAGTTTCCTTCTACTGCTATTCTTTTTCATTCTTGGTTATGTTTATACATCCAATCCTGTGACCATAAACAGTTAAAAATGGATAAAACGCAGCGATGATTGGCCATGTCTATACTTTTATTTGGTAGGAAAAATACAAAAGCTAATGTAATTACCTAGCAACTGCCAGGACTGTCAGTCTTCCACACGCATCTGTATCAATGACCCACCGTGACTTCAGTTGCTAGCCAGAGGTAACATTAGCTTAAAAAACCTTTCGAATTGCATTGTGTAATGGGGGGTGAGACGGATCAGAAGGATGACAAAACCAAATCAGGCCAGCTCCCAGCATCAAAGACAAAATGATGTACTACGTACGTGCAAATGGAGAAAGCTTTTCTCTGTGGGTAAGGCTTAACCAAGGAGACTCATTCGCCTCCACCTGTGCTTTGTGTCCAGCCAAAATTTCAGTTGAAACAGCTCTGGGAAATCATGCAAAAACAAAGAATCACTTAAGCAGGGGTCACCGACCTTTTTGAAACTGAGAGCTACTTCATGGGTACTGAGCCATACGAAGGGCTAACAGTTTGAAACACCTTCCTAATCTTATGTATAATAAACTTATGTATAATAAACTTCATATATAATAAACATGTTTTAAATGCGTTTTCTTAGATATTGTCATTTTCAAATCTATATAAATACAAATGTGATTAAAGAAGAATAGCAACAGGATAAAATTCAATTTTAGATGCTGCTCACTGGTGAGTTGTGCTATTTTTAGAACAGGTCCGCGGGCGACTCATGTGGTCCTTGGGGACATCCTGGTGCCCGCGGGCACCATGTTGGTGACCCCTGCACTAGAGTTTTGTATTAAGCACATGTCAAAATCTACCCATTGCAACTTTTGGTCAAAGCAGAACATCAAGTTAGTTAGATTGCATTAATTGCTTTGGACATATTAGGGTTAGGTTTTATAATAGGATATAATTAGACATAAATGTTTACTCATTAAAGTAAAGGAAATGTATATACTGTATAATGTATAATGTATAATGTGTCAGGACAGATGTAGGTAAGAGGTAATAGCAGGGTTTCCAACTTTGGTCAGTTGGCTGGCGTGAGATTTTCAATTCTCTGTGCACACATGCACATGCACGTACATGTATGTAACAAGTTTATTATCTTGTAAATAGTGTGTAGGGTTTGCAAACTACCACAACACTTGTGATGTAGCTAATTTTAGGTTTATAATGGAATAATATAGATTTGCTGTAAGATCTCTTGCGTGAGTGTGACAGTCTGAAAGCGTGAGTGTCACATTGCTTGTGTGAGAGTTGCCAACCCTGAGTATTAGTGACTCCTACAACTATTAACACAGTGTATTCGCAAATATGGTTTAATCGCCCCCCCCCAAAAAAAATAAGAACAAAGTCAGTGTCCAGGTAATACACAAATCAATGGGTCTAGTATGAACAAACCATTAACCCGAGAGGCTGTCTAATGTTGCTGTCCTAATAGTATGTCGCTTCAGAAAAAAGTATCTGCTGAATAAACAAAATGTAAAAAGTAACAGGCATATTCTTGTGCACTTGTTCTCTGTACTGCTACCACACCCTGGCAGTACTAGCTACAATAACACACAAGTAGATAGTTAGCCAGCTAATTAGAGTCTGGGCTAATGCTAACCCTACCCAAATGGCTGTATTGATACATATGCAGGTAGTTAGCTAGCTAATCAGAGTCTGACTTTGCTAACCCCAACCCTACCCAAATGGCTCTATTGATACATATGCAGGTAGTTAGCTAGCTAATCAGAGTCTGACTTTGCTAACCCCAACCCTACCCAAATGGCTGTATTGATACATATGCAGGTAGCCAAACAATTTGAGCCCAATTTTATTAATTAGGCGCTCCTTAAGAGTTGCAGGTTTGGTCTCTAGCTGTAGTCAAGCGAGTGCTGTTTTTGCACGGGGACTCCCAGAAGATTCAGATGGGGAAGTGCCCATGGTGTGCCATGGTTTATGATGCCCCTGAATACCCATGGCTGGTCCATCATGTGACCATTCACCTTACCAACATGCTGCATGCAACCTTAGTAGCTTATGAGCTAATATTTCACCATCTTACTTTGGCATTTTATTTTGTCCCTTATGCCACTTTTATCATATAATCATGAACATGTTTTGCTCTGGTTCTTATTAGTACTTGAAGCGGGCTGGTACTCACTGGTACATAGTACTGGTACCTCTTTGTTTTTCTCTTCAGTCATTATTATTATTATTATTATTATTATTATTATTATTATTATTCACTGACTGTAACAGATACATTGTTGAAAGTGGTTACCCCAGTGCACTGTCTTGAACACATGCATCAAACTGCTGTGACTTACCTACCTTTAATAATTACTTGATCATTTAAAGATATTTAACTTCTTTAAAGTGTGCATAACTTATATAAATGATAATATTTAACAGGTAACATAGCGGCGCTCATTATCATCTCCCAGCACTATTTGTAAATAGCTGTTGTGTGTTTTATTGTAAATACTTATTGTTAGAGCTATTTTTGTGCTGTAACTAAATTTCCACATTTGACTGTTTGAATTTAATATTTTATTAATATTTCTAATAGAATTTTGAGTTATATTTTTGGTATCTGAATATTTTTATATCTTTGTATTTGTTACAATGTAAGAGTTGGGAACCTTAGTACGTAGTTTCCACGTGATGCAAATTGATTGGCTGCTGAGTTTGTTGTAAAAAGCGTAAGGATGCATAAGACAGCAGAAGCCTCGAATCTAGAAGCATCACAGTCTTTTGACCATCATGTCACATAAAGTATATTCGTAGCAATTAGAAATTCATCTTTTGTTTATAATAAAGATACAAACATCACTAAAAGATCGGATTCAGGATCTTTTCTGCAAAAGAACTTCGAGGTCCGAGGCTAGTGAGTCATCACTCACACTTA